TCCCCTCGAGGCAGCGCTGTGGGCCCCGCTGTGGCGCTGCCGCGACCCCCGTGTCACGTCACGAGGCACGCAGAAAGGTGTCAGTTTAAGCACAGTTGCCCCGTCTCTGCGCGGACTTTTGCTTGGCGACTTGGGCGATGCGTGAGGATTTGAGGCTCAGAGTTTGGGCGGGCTTCGGCCAGAAGTCTTGTTTAAGCGTCCCCGAGCGAAGGAAAGCGCGGTCTCCCTCGCACTTGTCGCTCCTTTCAAGATTCGAGAACCCCAGGCGGCGCGGGACGGGCAGCCCCCAGGCCTTCGGAAGAGCGGGCTGCCACATGGGCCTCAAGACCTCGGATCTGGGGCGGAAGGGAGCCGGGTTCTTTGGACCCCAGGGTCGTGCAACGCAGCTCGCCTGAAAGAGCGCAGACCCGACAGTGGGGTGTCCCGTGTTGGAGGGAAAGTCGGGAGCTGGTTCTCATGATGAGGCAGACTTGCTCCAAGCCAAGAAGGATGTTAGTGAGGTTGATGGAAGCTTTTTTAAGTAGGAAAACGTGCACATAAACGTTCAGAAGGTCTACAGGAGTGTGCGGTAAAAAAAAAAGAGAGAGAAAATTCTCTGTGTCCACAGGCAACCCCAAGCATTGGTTTCTTAGATCTTTCTAAAAAGCTTCTTTTCATACAGAAACATATGTTTGTCCGGCACGTGGAATGACCTGGACTTTGGTGGGACATAAAGCTGTTCGAGACAAGTTAACCCTGAAGGGGTCCTCACTTCCCTGAGGACCTCATGCTCTGTGTTCTTCCTTTGCTGCTTCCAGTACAGCCTCTGGCACCTGGCAGCCCTGCGTGACTACACCTGGTTGACAACCACTTTCTCTGCTTGCTGAGGCGTGCAGGGTTCTTGAGGGTGACCCCTAAGGGCTGTTGTCAGGAAAGGACCTGATGTGTGCACAGGCGTCCTGTGGGGCTCAGCCCAACCTTCTAGACAGGGTTCCCTGTTTTTCTCCAACATGGAAAACCAGGCTCCTGGGGACTGAGGCCAGCAGTAAGGACCCACCAGAGGCCCCCACAGCACAGAAGTGGACTTACACGCTCAGCACTGCTTACTTCCAGGACCTTTCAGTGTAAAAGGGGTTTTTTTGTTTGTTTTTCTTTTTGAGTTGGAATCTCATTCTGTCACCCAGACTGGAGTGCAGTGGCCACTCCCGGCCACCACAGCCTTGACCTGCTGGGCTCCGGCGATCCTTCCGCCTCAGCCTTCCGAGTAGCTGGAACTACAGGCATGCACTACCATGCCCGGCTAATTTTTTGATTTATTGTAGAGATGAGATTTCGCCTGCCCAGGCGGGTCTCAAACCCATGGGCTCAGGCAATCCATTCACCTCAGCCTCCCAAAGGCACGGGAGTAAAAGGGTTTTAAGCAATAGCATCTCAGTGCTGCAGGGGTGACTTCGAGGCTATGATCTCAGCTTTGTGTTTGCACTCCCTTTCTGCCAGACCAGTTGCCCTCCCATTTTTTCCCGGAGGCTTTGGATCTGGGTGCCTTGAGAGGTAGATCAGAAGGAGGAACAGTATGTGCACTGTGAGCCCCTCACTCACACCTGCCCTCCCAAGGACTTGGCTGGGAATGGTAGTTGAGCAGCTTGCTGGAGACAGGCAGGGACCTGCATGGGAAGGTGAGGGCTTGCCGAGGTGTGTATGGATAGCAGCCCCTGCAGCAATGAGAGGCTATCGCTTAAAAAGCAGGATTCGGGAGGGTGACTGCTAGAAGAGCTGGAGGCCAGAGTGGTGGGCAAAGCCATGCGAGGGTGGGGAGTGGCTGAGGATACTGGTATGTGCATTGGCCGAGATCGTAGCCTTGCGCCAAGGGACACTGGTGCACGTTTGCATCCCTGTGGCAGTCCTGGGTCTTCAGCTGTCAGTGTCCCTCCTGAGAACTGGAGACCCAGCCTCCTCCACCCCACCCCCCATACTGCCTCTGCTGACCCTGGGGGAGGGGTGGAGTCTCATCTGTTTCCTGTTGTGCCCTCAGCTTCAGGATCTTATCAGCTGTGTGTGTGAACTTGTACACAGAAGCATGTACGCATGCACACGCAGGAGCACACACAGGACTGCGCACAGACACATATGGGATCCCCTACACAGGACCATGCAGGAACACCCACACATGCGCACACAGGAGCATGCAGTAGCTTGCATGCCTGTGCATGCACTGAGAGGTGCAGGTTGGGGCATTGCTGTCCTCCTTGGGCAGCTTCAGTTGGTATGGGAGCGGCAGTAGTCGAGGGTCCCATGACAAGAGGGCCTGGGGCTGCTGGAATATCTTCCTGGTGAGGGGGTGTCTTTGCTCATGTCGGAATGAAGGGAGGCGGGGTCACACGGGGCCCTGCCTCACAACTCTGTGGTGCCCAGGGAGCCTGATCCTCTGTCTTACACTTCCGAGCAGAGCCTGGAAACCTGGCTGGCGTCCAGCACATCATCCTTGTCCTCTCGGGAAAGGGGGGTGTTGGGAAAAGCACCATCTCCACGCAGCTGGCCCTGGCACTTCGCCATGCAGGCAAGAAGGTGGGCGCCCTCCCGTGCAGCCGCTCGGCGGCACCTGCCCCGCCCCCCGAGCCTGTCCCTTCCTGTCTTGGTCGGAGGCTCAGCACATGCCCCTCACCCTTGCAGGTGGGCATCCTGGATGTGGACCTGTGCGGCCCCAGCATCCCCCGCATGCTCCAGTCACAGGGCAGGGCCGTGCACCAGTGTGACAGCGGCTGGGTGCCCGTCTTCGTGGACCAGGAGCAGAGCGTCTCCCTCATGTCTGTAGGCTTCCTACTGGAGAAGCCGGATGAGGCTGTGGTGTGGAGAGGCCCCAAAAAGAACGGTAATGGCCAGGCGGGGCTGTGGCGGAGCCTGGGCAGCACCCCTCCCCACATACTGCCACTGTCGCCATGAAGTCAGAAAGGTCCCTGCTGGCCTCTCCACCTCAAGGACACAGCTCCTCTTGTGGAGACACTCCCACCAGGGGCCTGTGGTCTAGTCAGTGTGGCTGTGAGGCTATCCCGTCTCCTGGTCAGGGAGCATCCAGGGACCCAGGGTCCCGGTGTGGGGGGCCCTGGTGCCTCTGGCGAGACAGGCGGCCTGGGGAGAGGCTGCTGGTGGGATGTGCCAGTGAGGGTTCTGCCACAGGCCTTCAGGGCTCTGAGGACTCAGGTGTTCTGAGCGTGGGTACAGACACCCCCGACAACCTGCAGGGAGGGGCTGGGGAAGGGTGCTGTGGGGGAAGCACAGCCCACCACCCCGCCTCACGCTGCAGGTGGCCCTGGGGCCTCCTGAGAGTGTAGTAGAGGCCGGAGGAGGGTGACAGTTCAAAGGGCCGAGGCCCCTTTCTGGGCAGCTGCTGGGCTGTGTGACAAGGACCTGCTTCTTTGCAGCACTGATAAAGCAGTTTGTGAGTGACGTGGCTTGGGGGGAGCTGGACTACCTGGTCGTGGACACGCCTCCAGGGACCTCCGACGAGCACATGGCCACCGTGGAAGCCCTGCGCCCATACCGGCCCCTGGGGGCCCTTGTGGTCACCACACCCCAGGTACACAGCAGCACCATTCCTGTCCCGGCCCATGGCCTCCTTTGCGGGCTGGGGCGGGCCAGGAGGGCATCCTTGCGTGGCCGAGCCAGGGCTGACTGGCCTGGCCTCGTGTCTTGACCCAGGCGGTGTCTGTGGGGGATGTGAGGCGGGAGCTGACCTTCTGCAGGAAGACAGGGTTGCGGGTGATGGGGGTCGTGGAGAACATGAGCGGCTTCACCTGCCCACACTGCATGGTGAGTCCTGGAGATCGCTGGCAGTGGGCCGGGACAGGTGGAGGCCACGAGGAAGGCCACAGGGGCCTCCCGGGCAGGAGGCTGAGGGGACGCCACCACCCGCCAGCCTGCTGCCCAGAATGCAAGTTGCCCTCACACTTGCCTCCTAGGAGTGCACCAGCATCTTCTCCAGTGGCGGTGGGGAGGAGCTGGCCAGGCACGCCGGGGTGCCCTTCTTAGGTGAGTGCCCTGAGCCTGGGTGCTGAGGTCGATTTCACTTGCTGGGCCTCTGCCCTAGGCGGGGCTGGTGCCCACTGAGTCCCAAAGGAGAGACGTGTGGCAGGGGCCACTTCACCTGGTCTCCTGTGGGAAACGCTGGCCGAGCCTCTGCTCACCCTGGCAGCTTGACCAGCATCCGATAAGCACCCAGGTTTAGGCAGGAACCGTGCGGCAGATGCATCTGCGGAGACCCGGGGGGAGAGGTGGGGAGAGAAGAGGGGAGGGCCTATGCCAGCCTGCAGCTCTGGGAGCGCCTCTGCTGGGGACACTGAGGTCCAGTCCCTGCCTCTGAAGCTCCCGGTCACAGGAGGTGGCAGCCTTGCTTGGCCTGTGGAAGGGCCACCGGCCTGGTGGCACCCCCAGAAACCCTCAGCAGGCACAGGTGGCAGGTGTGTGGCCTCTGCCCTCAGCTGCCTGAGGCCACGGGAGGTATGTGGCACTAGGCCTCCTCTTCCTCAGCTTCCACTGTTTTCCAGGCTCTGTCCCCCTGGACCCTGAGCTCACGAGGAGCCTGGAGGAAGGGCGTGACTTCATCCAGGAATTCCCCAAGAGCCCCGCGTTTCCTGCGCTCACCTCCATAGCCCAGAAGATTCTGGATGCAACGCCGGCTTGCCTCTCCTGACTGAGGCAGCCTCCCAGCCTTGTCCTGGTGCCATTAAGGGCTCTGCTCATGGGGTCTAAGAGGCACTTTCAGGGCAGAGGTCCCTGGGGCCTTCAGAAATGTCTCTAGTGTGTCAGCGCCAGCTGGGTGACCCATGGCTGAGAGGACAGCAGGGGTCCTAGAGACATGTTGCTGTGAGACAGGGATGATCTGGGACTCTGGCCCGTGGGCTCCTTCCCAGCTCCCATCACAGCCACGTGTCCACACTACTCACAAGGCTGTTGGCACTTCCACCGTTCTCAGCTGGCCCTGGGCTCCAAGCATCCCAGACAAGTGATCTTTTAACAGGGAGCATCCCATGAGGGAGTAAACTGATCTCAGGCTTGTGGTACGACTTTAGAGGTGCCTATCATTAAACGTGTCCCACTGTGGTGGTTACAAGGCTGATGTTTCTATAATTCTTCTTTAAGTTTCTGGGCTAGGCCAGTGGCTTTTTTAACTCCATTGCAGACAAGCGCCTGAAGCCCAGGTGAGGATGCCTTTGCATCTCATTTGGTGGGAGTTTGGGGAGATACTGTGATACAGAAACCTGTGCGTGGGGTTGCTTAGCCATAATGGAATGGGACAGGGGCAGAGCGTAACGAAGACCACAAAGGCATTTAAAAGTGAGCTGAGTCCTTGTTTCTGTACTTTTCCCCCACAAGAACAGGACAGAAAGCCCTTCCAGAAATCAGGATGGAGGCCCATGCGCCGTTCCCAAGAGAGGGGCTCAGGCCTGGCCAGGAGGGGGCGAGCAGGCAGAGGGGAGGCTTGGACTGGGAGCCTGGAGGGGACCCAGGGAAGCAACTCGCACAGCAGCTTCGAAGGTGATGGGGTGGCCCGAGTTTGTGGCTGCTGCTTTCCTGAAGAGGGCTGCTGGGCAGGAGCGGTGTGAGCGGTGCCTCCGTCCCAGGCTGACTCGCCACAGGTGCCCACTGCTTTGTTCCCGGCACGGCTGCACTCTGGCTGCCCTGGACCAGGACTCCTCAGGACGGTGCCTGGTCCTCAGGGCAGCACCCCAGAGAGAAAACGGGTTCCCAGCAAACCTAAGTGCCCGTGGTCCCTCAGATGGGGGCTTGCCTTGGAGAGGGGCCTGGGGGGTAGCCATGAAGACCAAGGGGACACATGGGGATGTCAGCAGGGCCGAGGCAGGGAGTGAGTGGGGCCGCAGGATTGAGGCCAGGGCTCCAGGCATGGGCCAAGCAGGGACAGGATGGGGAGGGCCAGGGGAATGCTGCCCACCCAGGCAACACCACCCTCGCCTTCCCCAAGGTGACTGCTCTGGATCACATGCTGCATTGGTCAGGTTGCCTTTAATGGATGACAGCTGGGGAGGCCACTGTGTCTCCCCCAACTCCGCTCGGGCTCCTTGCGTCTGCCAGCAAGTGCATCGCATGGGCCATGTGTCTACAGGTCCTTGGGGGCTGGCTGGTCGTTTGGGGGTGCTGAGGACCCATGCTGGCCACAGGTGAGCTGAGGGGCTCAGCAGTGAGCAAAGTGGTCCTCACTGACATCCCGCAGGTCAAGGCCTGAGACGCTAGGCGGGCTGGCGCAGGTGATGTTGTTATATGTGTACACGGGGGGCTGGCAGTCGTCCCCCTCGCCAACAGCCTGCACGAAGCGGGGCACGGCGCCAGGGTGCTGCAGGGCAAAGTCCCGCAGCGCCTTGAGGGGGCAGCGGCAGTCCCAGGGGTTGCCCTCAAGCCACAGGCGCTCCAGGCTGGGGGGCTGTGGCGCGAAGGTCCGCAGGGAGTTGTTCCCGAGGCTGAGGTAGCTCAGCCGCCCCAGCGGTGCCAGGAGGTCGTCGGGCAGCGCCTCCAGGCGGTTGTGCGACAAGTCCAGCCAGAAAGCCCGCCGCAGGGGGCCCAGCATGTCCGCCGCCAGCTCCGACAGGCGGTTGCGGGACAGCAACAAGTACTCCAGCTTGCCCAGGCCCTGGAAGAGCCGGTGGGGCAGATGCGTGAGCTGGTTGGAGGTTAGGTCCAGTTCCAGCAGCTCGGCCAGCCCCCACAGGCTCTGCTCCTCGATGCCCGTGATGCCGTTGTCCTTGAGGAAGAGCCTGCGCAGCCCTGAGAGGCCAGTGAAGGTGTGCCGGCGGATGCGGCCGAGGCAGCTGCCCTCCAAGTGCAGGCTGTGCAGCTTGCCCAGGCCCTGGAACACCTGCTCCGGAAGGCTCCGGAGACAGTTGCCAGAGAGGTTCATGACGGCCACGTTGAGGAGACCGAGGAAGGCGCCCACCTTGACCTCCTGGATCTGGTTGTGGTCCAGTGTGAGCACCTCCAGCTGCCCCAGGCCCTCAAAGGCCCGCTCAGCCAGCTGTCGGATCCGGTTGTGGCCCAGCTGCAGCTCCTCCAGGAAGTGCAGGTCCTTGAAGGTGCGGGGCCGCAGGCTGGCGATGGAGTTGTGTGAGAGGCGCAGCACGTGCAGGCCCAGCAGCCCCGGGAACGTGTCCTCCAGCAGGCCGGCCACGCGGTTGTGGGACAGGTCCAGCCAGCGCAGCGCCTTCATGCCCAGGAAGGCGCCCGGGGCCACGGCGGCAATGAGGTTGCGGTCCAGGTGGAGCTTCTGGAGTCGGGGCAGCTGCACGAACACGTCCGCCTTGACGCTCCTCAGTGCGTTCCTGCTCAGGTCCAGCTCGCGGAGCTCGCCCAGCCCGCAGAACAGCGCCGGCTGCAGGTAGGCCAGCCTGTTGCCCGCCAGCACCAGCTCGCGGAGGCTGCGCAGGCCCCGGAAGGCCGTGTCGGGCAGCACTGCCAGACTGTTCCAGCCCAGGTTGAGGTCCCAGAGGTTGGTGAGGCCCTCGAAGAGGCCGTCCTCCACCCTGCTCAGGAGGTTGTTGCTGAGTCCGAGTGAGCCCAGGCCAGGCGTGTGCCCGAACGTGCCAGCCGCCAGGCTGTGCAGCTGGTTCCGCTGTAGGTGCAGATGGTACAGGTTCTGCAGGCCCAGCAGCGCCTGCGGCTCCAGGCCACCCAGCTGGCTTCCCTGCAGGTTGAGGAAGTCCAAGCTAGAGAGGTTCCGGAAGGCCGCAGGGGGGATGGTGGAGAGGTTGTTGCCGTCCAGCCACAGGGCCCTGGCGCCATCCGGAATGCCGTCGGGCAGCCGCGTGAGGTTCCTTGAGCTGCAGAAGACGCTGAGCTCGTCCACGTCGTCATCGTAGTTGCAGGTGCAGACGGCCGGGCACTGGGGACCCTCAGCATCCCCGGGCACCCCGGACTCGGCTCCTTCCAGGCCATGAGGGCCCAGAGCCACCCAGGACACCAGCATCAGCACCAGGGTCAAGCCTCCTGTGGGGGGAGAGGCTTGGGCAGGCGGCACCCAGGCGAGCTTTGAGAGTGCCTTGCCCCTCCTGGTGAGCCTCTGGGCCACTGCAGCCACGGGTGCCCACATGTGAACCGGGCCACACGGCAGCCACTTAAGTACGGGCGGGACCATCAGGTCCTCCGGCTCAAAAGCAGAATCTGCGCTTTCCACCCCTTGGGGCCATGGCGTGGCCATCCTGCCTCTTTGCAGGGGACACCGAGAGCTCGGCTCTCTGGCTTCACCCAGGCCACGTGGGCATGGCAGGCAAGTCCTGGCCGTCAGGCCATGTGGCAGGCTGCACCCCCAAGGCAGGCACTCCAGCCAGGCCAGGCTGCCACGTTGGCCTAGAGGAAGGGGAGGGAACTGAGCCATTGGCCAAGATCTGGCCATGTTCGGAATGTTCTGGAGCAGGTCTGGATGGGGTACTGACTTCTTGCCCTTGGAGGCTATACAGTGAACCAGCACCCCTGCCCCATTAGGGCCCTGCACTAGGGGCCATCTAACCTACCTGCACCTAGGTCTTGACCCAGCACTTTGGGGGACACCTGAGCACAGCTGTGGGGCAGACGGGCGCCCCAGTTGTGGGCTTAGCAGGGGCCAGGTACATCTCATAACAGGGAACAGCAGGCCCCACTGACCTGGCCAGCAACCTCCCTGGCAGTGACACCCCAAAATGCCACCACATGGTCCAGCCCCTGCCCTCAGAGAGCATGGGATCCTGGGACGGGGGCTCCCACCTGCTGCTCTTATGCCATGATGGAGTGGGGGGGTCCCTGGAACTCTGGCCCAGGCTTGGTGCTTGCTCAGCCTTGGGGGCACCCCCCAGAGATGGTGGGGCATGAAGTACTGTCTCCGCCCGTGCCAGGCCCCGAGAGGCTGGAGGACAGTGGGCCCACCTGGTGAGTGGACCAGGCCCAGGCCCACTCAGTGCCTCACCTCAGTTTCTGCACTCCGTCATTGCAGGAGGGGGGACTCATCCCTGTCTGTGCCTGGCCCTGCTTCTCTTGTGCCACCCGCCAGACCCTGGGGCACAGGACAGGAGCTTGAGGGAATGGCAAAGACCCTCTGGTGCCCAGCCCAGCTGTGTCCCTCTCCTGCCTCCGACAGCTATGTTCCCAACCGTGGGCTCCCAGAGCTGAGCCCTCCAGAGCATCCCTGGGAGCCACCTGGGCCTTGCCCCAGTGGGCTTGGGGACACTGAGGGCATCTCACCTTTCCTCAGAGCCATCCCGCGTGCAGAGCGGGCCACAGGCAGGCAGCAAGCAAGGGCACGTCTGTTGTGCCGGCCGTTCCTGCCCTCTGGATTTCCCCACTTCAGGGCAGTGCTTGTCGCTGGCCCGGCCCTGCTGGCCCCAGCTCTTTTAACCCTCTCGTTCCAGGCGGCCAGTGTCTGCACAGTCCCTGGGCGCAGACGGTGCAAGGGAGTGCTGGGGGCAGTTCAAGGCGGGCCGTGGTGTGGCCTGGAAGCCACTGGCCAGTTCCCCTGCGGGGTGGGCTGGGGCTGGGCTTCCACCTTGGAGCAGCCTCGGAGGGGCTGGAGCTGGAGGCAGTTTTGGGGAGCTCAGGCCTTGCCCATTTCTGCCTACAGCGAGCAGGCCTCAGGTAGCTCCGGGGACCTTGGAGCTCCTCCCAACTGCTTGAGCAGACAGCCCTGCTGCGGCTCAGCAGGGCCATCAGCCACCCTGGATCCCGCCCGGCTGCTGGCACACCACCCTCCCACCCTCCCTGGGGTTCCTGAGAGCCTGGCGAGATCTGCGGCCAGGCGCCCAGGTCTGCCCCTCCTGTCCGGTGACCTCAGGGGGCTGGGGTCTGGCCACTGCCCCGCCCCGGTCTCTTCTAGGAATGCCTGGCGGGCTGCTGGCTGCCTGTTTGCTTTGCCCAGCACTGTCCCCAGGAGGAGGCAGGCGGGGAAGAGCGGGGGGGCGCCTGGCCTCTCCAGCTGGGTCTGGGGGTTCAATAACCAGCCCTCATTTGCCCCCTGCTGCCCAGGCTCCGCCGAGGGTGCGACTACCCCTTGGTCACCCCACTGTATGCGCAGGGGCCACAGGGACATGGGCCTGTGCCAGGCAGGGACGAGAGCTGTCTGTGCCAGGAGGGGCCACGGTACTGTTCCCATCTGCCCCAGCTGGGCCATGGCTCCCCTCCTGCTCAAGCTTTGTCAACCACTCGCTGCCTCCGGGGGCCAGAGCAAGTGCGGCCCAGCTGTCATCCCACCCGCTGTCCCCCCAGCGTCCCTGCAGGGCCTTCCCCCGGCTTGTCAGCTGGGCCTGCCCACCACTTCACTGCCTGGGGCAGGGGAAACAGGCTGAGCCCAGCGGGGGCTGGAAAAGGCGCGGGGAGGGGAGGGGAGACTGGAGCTCCCACCCATGTGCACCCCCAGTTTCCAGGGTGCCCCATCCCATGGCAGCCGCACAAGCCCCGCACACTGGCGCCAGGGAAGCTGTGTCCCCTCCTTCCTTTTATTGAGAATTGATCCTTTTCCAAGTTGTCTCTCACCTTCTCTTCTGAGAAATTATAGATCCGCAGGGAGAAAGTCCACACCCAGAAAGACCCACAGGCCAGTTTACACAGCAGAAAGTGCAGACTCAGCGGGGGCCCCGGGGCCAGGGGGGCTGGGCGCTCCTCTCAGGCGAGGCTCCGGCAGCCTGTCGACCCTGGGCAGGCTCGGCGGGCTGGGGCGCCCCTGCGCTCCACCCTCCAGGCGGACTGGGAAAGGGGAGCTGGTGGGACTGTCCTTTCCTTCTGGGAGGAGAGGGCCAGGAACGCCTCCCTGCAGACCGCTGGCCAAGCTTGGCATGCTGGTCAAGCCTTATCCCAGGACTTGGGGACTGGCTAGACAGTTTTAAGCCTCTTTGACCCCTGGGTAACCCTGAGGCGTGCACAGCCTAAAGGCTCAGCCCCGCATTCCAAAGCAAGCCCAGCCCGTCCTGACTCTAGGCCGGTGGCAGCCTCAGTTCCTCCCCTAGGCCAGTAGCAGCCTCAGTTCCTCCCCAGGAGTCGAGTTCCGCCTGGTGGTGATCCCCATGGGAGTGGTGCTGTCAGGATGCATGGGTCTGGCTTCCTGTAGGACAGGATCTGAGTGAGATGCAGCCACACGTGGTGTCCCCATGTTCTCATCCACCTCGTGGATACAGTGATTCCTCTTGCTGCTGCTGGATGCCTGGCCCCTTCCAGCAGTGCCACCCCGAGCCCTTCCGCACACGTTTCTGTAGAGCCACTACGTGGTGTCTCCATGGGCAGGCCGCCTTTCCCAAGTCACTGGGCAAGCGCTCTCTCAGGCGTGCCCTCACCAGCGCCTCAACTGAGCCCAGATGGAAGAGGGACTGGCTTTTGCGGTGCTGTTTTCCTGGTGACTCGCACGTCTGAGTGTCTTTCAGAGGCTCGCAGGCTGTTGGAGTCTCCTGTTTTAGCAAGTGCAGGTTAAAGGCTCTATTGAGTTGTCTGTCCGTCTGACTCACGAGATATAAAAGCAGATCCTGGAGGCAAGCCCTCATCACATCACCAGTGTTTTCCCTTTCTGTTTTCTCGTTGTGATCCTGGTGAGAATTCTACATCTTAATGCAAGTTCAGATGTCCCTTAATGTTACATCTTGAACTTGGTTTCCCAAATGCCAGCTGTAGAGATGGGAAAATGACAAAACCTTTTGACAGTGGTCCACCTCATCTTGATGGTTTCAGGTCCTACTGGGTGCATGACTTGAACATCTTCTGAAACGGCCTGCAAACACTGCACCGCGTTGCCTCTCATGCGGTCCTACCCTCAAGCCGACGGCGAGCATGGGCAGGGCTCACACGTTCTCTCCTCTGTAAGGACTCCGAGTACTGCATGTCACTGTGTGAGGAGAGGGCTGTTGCTGTTCGTCACTTCAAGCCCACCGGGCTCCACGTGAGCCAGGGCCCATTCTGGCTCTCAACCCCCACCCGACTATCCATCTGCTGCCACACTATCCACAGGAAGGCAGATTTTGGTAAGTTCTGATGTTTGTCCCACATGAACTTCGAAGCAGCTTGTCGTGTCTCTTAAAAAAAAATCAAAACCTGTTGAATTCCAAGTTGTGCTGTAGTTTGTGGAGTCGGCATCTTTGCAGTATCGAGTCTTCATCCTGGGACATGCTGTTTCTCCCTTTCACTCAGGTCTTCAGTCTCTCAGTTGCGTTTTTGCAGATTTCTATGTTGTGACCATGTATGTATTTTTGAGGTTTTCTTTCCCTACATGGCAGTTATGTTTGGTATCATGATGTGTTATCTCTTCCTTAATTTTACTTGCTGTACATTAAGACTGGAAGTGTTTTCTAGAAGCGTGCTGGGATAACATAAAACGTCAAGCAATGTACTCCCTTTGTCCTACAGTTCTTTGCTGAAACAGCCTTGTTGATGTATAATCCATTTAGCATAAAACTCACCTCCTGTAAGCGTATAGGTCAGTGACTTAGTAAACAGGTGGAGCTGTGATGTCAACCGGCGCCATAGTCCAGCCGAGGGTCGTGCTCTTCTGTGTCTGATGTCCTTTCTTGGGCATGCTTTTGAGGTTCCTCCAGTGCCTCCCACCCTGTTGTGGCTGAACACTGCTCTGTTCTGTGGGTCCACCACACTTGGTTTGTCCACTCATCACCCTCTACTGGTGGATGCTGGGACTGTGTCCACTGGGGGCTATTATGGGACATGCGAGATACCTACGTGTGTATCGTCGGATGTGTGTTTAATTTTTCTTGGGTAGATTGTTAGGAGTGGAAATGCTGGTTCACATAGTATTCCACCTGCTTAAAAAACTTTTCCAAAGCAACTATGTCCTTTTGCAAAGCATAAGAGCTACAGTTGTCCCGCATTCTCACCAACATTTGGTAGCTTCAGTTTTTTGTTTTTAGCTATTCCAATTGTGATTTTTCTTTGTTAGTTAGTGATACTGAACACTTTTTCATGTGTTTGTTGGCCATTCTTGTGTCTTCTTGGGTGAAACAATCTAGGTCTTTTCTCATTTTTTAATAGGGTTATTGATAGCCTTGAGCTGTAAGACTGTGTATTATGGCTACAAAACTATATGTTATAGATTACTAGATGTAAGATTTGCAAGTATTTTTTCCAGTCTATGGCTTGTCTCTAATTTTTTTAAGGTTGTTTCTTTTTTTTTTTTTTGAGCTGGAGTCTCACTTTGTCGCCCAGACTGGAGCAGCCTCGACCTGCTGGGCTCCGGCGATCCTTCCGCCTCAGCCTTCTGAGTAGCCAGAATTACAGGCGTGCACTACCACGCCCAGCTAATTTTTTATTTATTGTAGAGATGAGGTCTCACCAAGTTGCCCGGGCGAGTCTCAAACCCGTGGGCTCAGGCAATCCACTCACCTCAGCCTCCCAAGGCGCGGGATTACAGGCTGAGCCACCGAGCCCGGCTGAGGTTGTTTCTTAAAGTGCAAAATCTTTTCATTTAAAAAAAGTCCAATTTATTGATTTTTTTCTCTATTATGGCTCCTGATCTTATGTCATATCTAAGAAATCTTTACCTAACCCAGGATCAAAAAGATTTTCTCCTACATCTTCTGAAAGTCTGACAGCTTACCTCTTACACTCAGGTCTGTGATCCACTTTGAGTTATGTGTATGGTAATTGTGGTGTGAGGTAAGTCTGTGTTCCCTTTCTTCCATGTGGATATCTAAGAATCCTTATACCATTTGTTGGAAAGACTATCCTTTCCCCAGTTGACCATAATATAAGGATTTATTCTAGACTCTCAGTTCTGACCCATTGATCTACATGCCCGTCCTTGTGCCATTATTACACTTCATTACTGTGGCTTTACAGTAAGTTTTGAAATCAGGTCATCTGAGCCCTTCAACGTTGGTCTTTTTCAAAATTGTTTTGGCTCTTCTAAGATTCTTGTACTTCCATAAAAATTTAGGATCCATTTGTCACTTTCTCCAAAAAAGCCTGCTGGGATCTTGGTAGGGATTGCATGGGATCTCTGAATCCCTCTGGGTAGAACTGACATCTTAATGATAGTCTTCTAGTCAATGAACATGGAATTTCTTTCCATTTATTTAGACCTTTAATTTCTCGTAGCAACATTTTTAGTTTTCAGTGTATAATTCTTCCATTTCCCTTTCATTTCCTGTTTTGTTAGTTGTGATGCTATTGGGAATGGAATCTTAGTTTCATTTTTGGATTGTCATTACTGTATAGAAAGACAGCGTATTTGTCTTTATCACTCTTCTATCCCAGGGCCGTGTTATTCCTAACGTTCCAGTTGTGCTTGTATCTGTATTCCTTATGACTTGCAAT